GTGGGCAGGGTTGTATATCGTTTGGATATGCCCGATGAGCTCAGTCAGATTCATAGCACTTTTCATGTCTCTCATATGCAAAAATATTTGGTTGATGATTATGCAGTTGTTCTATTGGAGGACATTCAGGTGGATGATCATCTGAATTATATAGAGAGACCAGTGGTGATCCTTGACAGGAGGACGAAGACTATGCAAAACAAAGTTGTGGATCTTGTGAAGGTGCAGTGGCAGCACTGAAAGGGTTCTGAATGGACGTGGGAGCATGGGGACGATATAAAGGAGCGTTACCCATAGTTATTTGAGGTGGCTGACTTCGAGGACAAAGTCTAATTCAAGTGGGGGAGCGTTGTAATGCCCAAATCTTTAGGTACTTTATTTGTAACCAAAATTATCATTTTGAAGGTTGCCACGACGTATTGGAGGCACCACCATGACGTGGTGAGGTGAGAAGGATTCATGTATTTCATTTAAGCCACCACGGGGTGGTGGACGGCTGATGTGAAAACGCTATTTTTCCGGGTTTGCTCCCTATTTAATGGAATGAGGAGGCAAGGGTTTGCTCATCCTGAGCCTTCATCAGCTCCCTCAAGCTCTAAAGAAAACTCTAATCACGTTCCTCCATTATTGAGCTAGTTTGGTGTTCCTTGAATATAAAGAAGGAAGAAGGAGGAATAAGGAAGCAAAAATCAAGCAAGCAAGTCACCATTATTCACCTTAGCACTCTTCTGGACCTTTATAAGTGTCCAATACTCGATTTTTATCATGCTAGGTTGCTAGATCTTGAGTTTTGTCCCAAAAACTTCTTGTTCTTGTTTTTTGGGATGGCGAGATCTCTTAAAGTTTGCAACTTTATGAATCTCTATTTGGGGTAGTTTTGTGCCTTGGATTTGGAGTTTGGTTGGGTCTTCAATCTATGCATGTGATATAAGTCATAAACCCTCATTTTGAACTAATATGGGTTCAAGACATGCATTGGACATGCATGTCTATAAATCACCAACTTTTAGGTTAGTTTTGGTGCTATAATCAATTTTGGAAAGGATAGATTTTAGACCTTATGGAATAAGTGCTTAATGGTTAAGTTCTTGCATTGTTAAGCCTTTTGGGACTTAGAGATTTGGGTTTTGGACCTTTTGGGTTGTCCTAATGGATAAAGTTAACTTTATCCTTCTAGATCATATTTTGGACTAGATCTGAGCTTTGGAGCTCTTGGAATCGAAGAAAACAACTTAATGCATTAAGCTGTTGGAACCTCGATAACCACATAGTGGTCCTAGGTCACCAAGGCATGACAGTTGGGATTTTCCCGACTGTTTGGTAGTATGTCGGTCACGACGTGGCCAAGGAAGACCACGTCATGGCGGTCAGCTGGAGTCAACATTAATTGTTGACTCTGACCGTTAACTTTGAGGGTTGACTTTTGACTTTTGGATTTTGTTCAGGTATTAATATATCTTAATATGTAGATTAAACGTTTTGCCTTGTGTGATTATCTAGGTTGGCATTTAGCATCTGTTGTGGGATTTTGAGGGCGTGTTAACTTTTGAGATGCTTTGTGATGTGAGTTTGCTCACTATACTGTAGGACACTATGGATTATATGTGCCTGTAGTCTTTGTGACTATTATTGTATGTGTCGTATGCGTGTGTGCTTGTTTCCTATATATCTGTGGGGTGAAATAAACCCGATACAACCTTGTGCTGATATATGAGTTGAAATAGACTCATGGGTGAAATAGACTTGGGGGTGAAATAGACCCGGTACAACCTTGGGCTGACATATAAGTTGAAATAGACTTGAGGGTGAAATAGACCCGATACAACCTTGAGCTGATATATATGTATGGTATGCGGTATTTTGGAGAATTCACTAAGACTTTGAATTAATGATTTAAGTTGCCGAACTTGTAAAATCAGTAAAACCCCCAATATCGAGAATTTGAATATGAAATAAATGGTTATAGGGCGTTGATGATGCCAAATGATACGAGTCGTTGGACGTTTGAGTGGAAATATGAGAAATGATAGAGTATGAAGAGCGTTGATTTTGGATCTGAAATCGATGTTTTCTTGAAGGACTTCGATTAAGAAAGGGTTTGCCTCGCTTGAACCTATGATGGTTTTTGCTTTGTCGAAATAGGAAAGATTAAGGTATATGACTATGGTTGCACATTTTTTTGTTCCTATAAAAGCAAATCGATGGGTCGATTGAAGAGAAAAACACATATTAACGTATGAAAGTTTGGAAAACATGAAAAAGTTCAATTGAAAAAGAGTTGTAGGATGCCACATGATATACAAATCCCTCCTTCCTTCTCTCTCTATGTGTGTGTGTGTTTGGTTCATCTTCTTTCAACCCATCTTATGCATATTGTTCATCATAAGTTTGATTATGATTTTTTGGGTTTCATTAGAACATTACGAATTAGAATGGTGGTGTTGGGTTTCATCTGGTGAATGGTGGTATTGGGTAATGTGGTGGTGGACTTGATTTGTGTTGGAAATTATGTATGGTGGTGATTGGTGGGGTGAGTGTGATTTTTTTTTTTTAAAATTAAATAAATTATAATTAAATATAAAAATAAAAAAAATTGAAAAAAGTAAAAAATATATATTTTTTATATGGGTGAGATACCTTCGTGATAATGAAAATATTAGAGACCAAAATTGATATTTATGAAAATTACATAGACCATTTACGAAGATTGCTCTTTTCTTTAATCTCATTGTGTCCTAAATTGTCACAACAACTTTGAAAAAAAGCTGATGAATCAAATAGTTAAAAGCTTTCTAATAACGTTTTATTATTTAAAAAAGAAAAATCCTACTAGTATTACAAATATTTCTTAATTTTTATCATGTATTATTCCCGAATGATATATTTAAAGAGGTTAACATATTTTATTGTTTATTAGTGAGACGGACCCTATTTTATTTTTATATATATATATATATCTTTTACAAATAATGCTAGATATAAAATTAAGGAAACAAATATGTGCAATGACACAATTCTCCCTAAAAAAATCAACCAATCAGATGCAAAATACTCGCGATCCGGGTCAATTAAAATCAACCAATCAGATCACACGTCTCAGTTCATATATAATGCCAACCTCCGTTTACAATCACATCCCACAAACAACAATCTTTCTTTCTCTCTCTAGAAAATCAGTCTCTCTTTCTCTAAAATTCAAATACCTTCAATGGCGCCAAAAGCAGAGAAGAAGCCAGCTGAGAAGAAGCCTGCGGAGGAGAAGAAAGCCGCCGTCGCTGAAAAAGCCCCTGCCGAGAAAAAACCAAAGGCCGGGAAGAAGCTTCCCAAGGAATCTGGCGCCGGTGCCGCCGACAAGAAGAAGAAGAGAAGCAAGAAGAATGTGGAGACATACAAGATCTACATCTTTAAAGTGTTGAAGCAGGTTCATCCTGATATCGGGATCTCAAGCAAGGCCATGGGTATAATGAATTCCTTCATTAACGACATCTTCGAGAAGCTTGCTTCAGAATCATCGAAGCTTGCGAGGTACAACAAGAAGCCGACAATTACGTCGAGGGAGATCCAGACAGCGGTGAGGTTGGTTTTGCCAGGGGAGTTGGCAAAGCATGCTGTCTCGGAAGGGACGAAGGCTGTTACCAAATTTACTAGTTCTTAGATTTGGTGGTTTAGGGTTTACTCATTGTATAATTTCATCTTTCTCGATGAACTATGTGGGTATCAGATTATGAATTGGTTATATTTTGTTGTCAAACAGTTAATCTATTTGAAAAGTTTGGTTTTTAGAATTGGGTATCCATAACGTCATTGTCCATGTTTAAGTTTCTTATAAATCTTCTGGTTGGATGTGATTTCGTTGGTGAACTTGTATATGATCTGTTGCTGGTTCCTTATGCCCTTATGAAATGGTTGAGTGCTCTTGATTAGGTCTCTACATAGAGTACACAGTGGTGACGAATTAAACGTGTAGTTGCAATTTGCAAATGCTTTAGGCAAATCGGTATATCCTAGAAGGTTATTTTAATGGAAAAAATTTATATATTGTTAGGTTGTTTTTGTTCATTGAAATGGTTTTTGAAGGTTTTTGGATTTTGTTTCGAATCAAAATCTTCTATCCAGTTTTAGCGCAACAGATCGTTTTAATTTTGCCCCTTGTGGCCATTAACATGGTTATTTATTCTTTCTCATCGGTTGCAATTTTAGGATGCCCTTTTCTTTTGTTTGGTACTATTTGAGAACAAACCCAGTTATTTTTTTTTTAATTTTTTTTGTGTGTGTGTCGAACAACATCAATTTCAGCATTTCTTAGTTCCACAAGATTTGCACATCTAGAGGTCTTCAATATCATTTCAATACACTTAACGACCCACAATCTAATGGAGCTGAGAAATATAGGGCAATTATCCTCTTAGAGAAAGCTACATATATAAGCCTCACAACGATTAGACGTGTCCATGTGCCTTGTACCCCATACACAGGGGCGGTTTTGCTTGGTGTCCCGGTGTGGCACCGGCAACACCTACTTTTTCTGTACGTGGTAGAAAAATTTCGATTTTTTTGGTTTTTTATCTTTTTTTTTTTTTTTTTTTTTGCACGAGCAATAACGTCAACCTCGGCAACATCTATTATGTATTCATGTATTCGCCCCGGTCCATACTGCGGTATGCGGTAAACACCGTGTCGATCCGCAAACAATTGTGCGGTATACGTCCCACGTGTTACAGTTTTGCCGCAAGATTTTTAAAATATTAGCGTTTGTGTAGTCGTTGGCAACGGCTAGAATATTTTAAATTTAATATGACAAATATGAGAGATTAAATATCTTTCCAATTATCTTCCTAATTATTTTAAAAGATAACAAATGTTTTAAACTATAACACTTATCACTATTTATTTGACATGGCACGTAAATACGTACAAAAAAAAGGTCGAAGGATATTTAATCTCTCTCTCTCTCTCTCTCTCTATATATATATATATATATATATATATATATATATATATATCCCCTATCCTAATAAATAAGTAGTATCTGTCCACGTGTCATTCTCCCAGCAGCCCTAAATTGTCTTTTCCCGCTTCTTTTCCTCATCTACATTTACGAAACTGCCCTCCAGATCATATTCATATACAATCAATCAATAAATCCGAAAAATTTGCACCAATTAAAAATATATACCGAAGATAGATATGTTGATGTAGATGAAAGATTTCCAAATAATAATTCAAAATAATATGCAGAATCATAAATTCAAATTTCAAATTCATCATATCCAATAAAATATGGAAGTTTGGTTATTCTAATTGGAAGTTGATTAATTTCCATTCATTAAATCCCATAAAATCTGCACCAAATAAATGCATACATGCATTTATACCACTATACCATCTATACGCTTCTATTTTGTTCATGATTCTGCTTCAGAGAATTCATTACAATTTCGTTTTTGTCATCGTTTACTGTATATTCATCCTCGACGATAGGAACAACTACACAAGGTTAGCAATCTCAAAGTCTGTTCAGTCTTTCTATTAGAGGACAATCAGACTTCAAGAACCATTTTACTATGTATTTATATTTATATATTACTTTACAGTTCAAACACTGATATTTTTTTAAATCCTATTTAGGGATCAACTCGAACTTGTCTTGTAGTTATATGAACTCCATTAAAATCCAGTTACAAGTACACTGGATTGATTGCATCCAATATTACATTGTAATATTGAATTTAGTAATTGTTGAAACAATGGTATTAATATATACCCGATTTAGTTGGTCAACAAAAAATGATATTCAATATTATCGAAAGAATTTATGACATTAATATTACATTGTTTAATTCGTTTTTATGTGTGTATTCCATGTCAAATAAATGCCATTAAATAATTTTTGCTAGAATATTCACATTCCTATGAGGATTATACATATTTTTTTTAGGTATTATACTTTCAGAAAAAAAATTGTTACTTTTTTGCCACTACCAATTCATGATATTAAATATTTATGACATATCACAATTTGATAAAAAAAAAATTCCTATTAATGATGCTTAGACCGCTATCCTGTATCACAACCAAATACATATTTTCTACTATTTACTTCACATTATTTTTTTGCAGAAAATGACTATTATGCCCTTTTATTTTATCTTATAATAAAGCTGCCTTTCTTTCTTTCTTTTTTTTTTATCAAAAAACACAAATTATTGCATTGTTTAATTCGTTTTTCTGTGTGCATTCCATGACAAAAAAATGCCATTAAAATTTTTTTGATAGGATATTGACATTCCTATTAGGGCAACCTACTTTTGCATTTGGTTATGACATTAATCTTAATTTGTAATTTTTATTTTAAATTTTATGTTTATTTGTTACTTATATTTTAATAAAAGTTACTTTGCCTGTATTTTGTTGTAACATAAATGGACAGTTATGCCCTTTTACAACAAAAAACTGAAATTATTGCATTCTTCAATTTATAATTATGTGTTATTTAATGACATTAATCCTAACAGTGCAACCTACTTTCTCATATGTTTTTGACATTACTTTTATTTATATTGTTTTTTTTTATTAACATATCTGGACACTTATGCCCTTTTCTGTTACATTATACCAAATATTGGCATTCCTAATAGGGCAACCTACTTTTGCATATGTTTATGACATTAATATTATTTTGTAATCTAAAACAACATTTACATGTATGAAAGCTTGGATGATTAGATTACATTTGAATTTAACGAGACATGTGTCATGTTAATTAATTACATAGCATAGTGCCTTGGAATGGTTGGAATTGATGCAGGCATGTGTTAAGTCCTTGTGATTATTTCACGTATAATTAATTATTAATTATGCTTAATTAAATCTTCCCTTAAGTTTACATTATTTAAAGGTGTTTTTTGTCAAAAAAAAAAATTCTTATAAGTCGCTACAATAGAAGTAATGGTTTTATCTCAAGATTTTAAATGAACAAACTAAAAAACGTGACGAGATTAAAATTGATATATATTTTAGTATAATTTTTACAAAAATTATCAATATTGTTTGAAATTGCTAAAAACAACTTTACCAACATAATATTCCAATTGTTTTACAAAAATAACATTCTGTAAAGAAGTCGTTTATACAATTTTCATAAAAGACTATGTTTTTATTATTATTTAATTTATCTTTATATACTTAACTGAACATAATGGAGAGACTACTTGCATATAACTAAACTGTAATTGCCCAAAAAAAAAAGTTATTTATATGTAAATTGTTAGAATAATTAAACACAATTCAAGATTACCTCTGATCATTTTACTTTTTGGGTTTCCTTAACAGCAAACTCCCTGCAAGTTAATCCTGTAACTAAGAATCTCTTGAAAGGTTTTTATAATGTTTATAAGCTTTTCATGATCGCCTTTTTCATTATCTGTCATGTTGTCAGTATATGAGTTATCTTCTTCTTCTTCTTCTTCTTCTTCTTGCACCTCTTGATTTAATAACACCTCTACAACATGTTTTCCCCCTGTATCCTTCGCCTCTGATTTTCTATGCAAATGAAAACACAAAAACAACCACATCAGCCCTTTTTTGTTCTACTTGCAGCTGATTCAGCCCGAATGAACATGAGTTGTTAATGTTGTTAAATAGTTTGTCATTTCAAATAGTGTAGAGAAAACGTTCATCAGGTTATGTAGAATAGTTTGTCAAAACAAAACTGCATAAATGAATAAAAGCTAATCATGTAAAATCTTCTCACAGGGGAGAAGATTATATAACATACAATTTTACACTCAAAAGCTTCCCTCACACTCATTAATCTGCATAAGATCTTGTCAAGTAATTGCTTCAATTATCAATCAAAAGTACACACATATTAGAAACACAAATAATCAGCCATATTAGGAGAAATCCTTCACCTTTAATCAAACCAAAACAAACAGCCAAACTATCTCTCCTGTCTGTTTTGTTTTTCTGCTTCGTGAACTGCCAAGCAACACCCCACAAGATGTTATTTTTTTTTTCTATAAAATTGAGGAGGCAGCAGCCCCTTTGCTGTTGATCGAAGCAAGCCAAACACCATCGTAGATGGCTGTTCCCGTTGAGCAATAGAGGCACACCCTCTTTCTCCGTCAGTTTCAGTCGGTAAAACCTCCACCGAAGGTGGACATTTCCGACGACACCACGAGGCAACATTTCTTCTCCATCGCACCACACTAACAGGAGTATAAGAAGACCAGCCTCGCTGCTTCGTCCTTACCCTTTCGGTTACTACTGCTGACGAAGAGAGCAACCACAAGGAGGTCGCGTTATTTCGACTTCACCCTATTTGCGATAGATTACCACCACCGACCCACTTCCTACCTTCAATCGACAGCAGCTTGCTGCTTTGTTCTTCTTCTTCCTTCGGTCCAGCGAAACTCCAGAGATCCTCCCCCTGCTTCTTTTCCCGATCGAACGCTATCTGAGCCCTTTGTTCGATCGGTTGTTTCTTTTTCACAAATTGAAGAAAACGGAGACCTGACCCCTTTTCCCCAAATTTCAATTCTTGGTCTAATCGACCAATTCAACCCCTCCATGTAACACCCGATTATTTATCTAATAAATAAATTAATTAATAATCGAATAGTAGTCCTAAAATCGATAATTATTTAGCAAGGTGTTGGTCTTGAGGAGCTAATTGTCACAATTTTAGAGATTGGGGGTTTAAAGTGTAAAATCCGGACTTAATTTGTAAGCAATATGGAAGACAGGGGCTGCTTGGTAACAATTAGGGCTCACTATGAAAGGAATTATGGAAGCAAGGGTTAAAATGTAAATTCTGGATTTAAATTGTAAAGATTTATGGAAGCTGGGGGCTGAATGGTAAATATTGGATCAATGTTGAAAAGAGTTTTTGGGGTCAGGGGCCAAACTTGTTATAATGCTTCAATGTTTTCGTCGTGTGCGGGTCGTGAGCCACCAGAAACGCCGGTAAGTCAGCCGCAATCCACCTTCTTCTCTCTCCCTCTCGTTGTTTACTGTGGGTACGACGTTGGAAACGTCATTACCGTCGTCGGTGGTCATGGGGCCACTGTTTCGCTTTTCCGGTGACACCCGCCGCCTAGACTGTGGCTGTGGGAGTGTGTGTTCGAGTATACATGTTGATGTCGGCATTTGTGGTGTGGCATGTGTGTTATTTGGCTGGTACTACCCGAGAAAAAAACCACCATGGCTGCCACCATGCCATCTCTTTCTGCCGCCACCAACCACCATGCGGAGGTGGCTATGTGCGTGAGTTGCTGTGTGTATGACTGTATCTTGTAAGGATAATGCTGTATGGTTTTTCTTAGGGAGGAAAACGAAAGAAGCTCATCACCGCCGCCTGGCGCGGCCGTTCTGCCAACTGCCGCCGCTGCTCCGCCACTGTTAGCCACCATCTTCGGTGGCTGTGGGCTTTCGGGTGCGTTAGATTAATGTTTGGAGTGCTTTTGGTGTTGCGTTGGCCCAAGATCATAACCACCACCACCGTGAGGTGGTGGCTGCCACCATGTGCCGCCATGTGTGTGTGTTTATGTTAGTTAGTGTGTGTGTTATTTTAGAGATTAGCATTGTAAAATGTAACCGGAAAGAAAAATAATGAGAAAGAAACCCTAAGCACCACCGTAGGGTGGTGGCTGCCGCCTCCTGCCGCCACCGGCCGCCGTGTCGGGTGGCGGTGTGCTTTGATGGTGTTTTGACTCGTTTGGATGTTTGGACAAGGGACTAAGAAACCCTAATGGGCCCAATGAGGCTTAATGGACTTAATAAACCCTAATGGGCCCAATGAAGCTTAATGGACCTAAAAGCCCAAACAGATGACTAATGAGTCTAATAAACCTTAATTGATCAAAAGACATATCAATTGGGCCTATTGGGCTAAGATGGGGTTGGAAACCCTAATTAGGATTTAGAAACCTAATATTGGATTTATGGGTTTGGACTTATTGAGACCCACTTGTGGGCCATTGGAATAATGGAATTGTGTGGTTAAGCCCAATCACACCATATGACTTATTTAGAAGAATGATGGACTTAATGGATTAAGTCCTTAATGGGTTAAGTGAGAAACACTTAACCTTAATCGTCATTTTATGTGAAACCCTAATTTCACATGGGTGTATTGTTGGGCCTTCTATTGTGCCTTGATGATTGCGTTATTAATGGGCCATCCAAAGTCAAGCAAATGGATTAGAATATTTAATGGGCCTAGGGTAAGGCCCATGTAAGGGGTTTGGACCCAATTTGGAAAATTGGGCCATAGATGGGCCATAGTTTGGGCCTTAATGATTATATGATGTTGGGCCTTAGAATGAGACCATGTAAAGGTTTGGGCCCAATTTGGAAAATTGGGCCATATGTTGGGCTTTGAGCCATAGTTGGACTTTTGGGCTTTGGATTGGGCCTTGGGCTTGAATAAAGCCTAGCACTGGGTAATGTAGTAATTATCCAAAGTATGTACTTATGGTTATGTAGTGGAACCCAATTATTAATTGGGTGTTATTTTGGTGTTGACAGTTCGGGAATCTGTCAGCCAGCAGCTGGGGTTGAGTCTGCAGGACTTCAACAGTGTGGGATTGTGTCTACGGGACTTCAGCAGTGTGAGGTGAGTTACCTTCCAGTAGCGGTGGGTCTACGGCCACAATGCCGGCCCACCAGTAGGAGCTGTATGTTAGATGATTGTCTATGTGATATTCATTTAAGTTTGCTACTACCTGATATGTTTATGTGCTAGCATGATATGTTATATGTGATAGTAGTAGAGTTCGGTTGTTAGGATCGAAGGGTAGGTCAGACACCCCAGATGTGTCTGACAGTATGTGATGATATGTTTATATGCTGGCATGATATGTTATATGTGATAGTGGTAGTAGGAGGGGAATAGTCCCCAAGTTCGGTTGTTAGGACCGAAGGGTAGTTCGGACACCCCAGATATGTCTGATAGTATGTTTATGTTATGATATATATGATAGTAGCAGTAGGGGGTGGAATAGACCCCGAGGGTCGGTTGTTAGTACCGACGGGTAGGTCAGCACCCCATAATGGCTTGACATGGGTAGGTCAGCACCCCATAATGGCTTGACACGGGTAGTCAGCACCCCATAATGGCTTGACACGGGTAGGTCGGCACCCCAGAATGGTCGTACCGGGTAGGTCGGCACCCCAGAATGGCCGTATCGGGTAGGTCGAGCACCCCATAATTGCCCGACAGTATGTATGCTATGTGATTGTATGGTATGTGGTATGATGGGGGAACTCACTAAGCTTTGTGCTTACAGTTTTCAGTTTTGGTTTCAGGAACTTCGTTTTTGAAGGAAAGGAGTCGGCTTGATCGCAGCGCATCACACTATGGTTTTCCGCACACGAGATCTTTGGGATTACACTCTGATGTTGTTTTATGATAACATGTTTTGATTATTTCTACTTGGGTTTTGACATGACATGATATTATGGATGCTTTCTTATACTGTTGGTTTTATAATAATGTATTTAAAAATGAAATTTTTGGCCTGTATTTTTGGGATGTTACACTCCACTTTATTAATTTGACCAAAATAGTCCTCTATGGAAATTGTTGACAAAATAAGCTCAAATATCAAACATTGATTCTTTTAAAACATTTCAGTCCCTACTTTGGAATTACATTACAAAATCATTTTTTACTTCGTTTTATATGTTTTCTAACAATAAGATTTTTTACAACTCAAATTTTATGTCGTTTTATACGTGCTTTCACATGTAGATACTTGCTATTGGATTTATATTCCTTTTTTAAAATTTAATATTATGGTTAATGAAATATAAATGGGATTCTTACATATTGTTAATTACATTTTTTTATATTATGTAATAACAATATTTAAATAATATATTTACTTTTATATATTACTATTTTCAACAAATATAATTATAAACTTTTAAATATAACTTACACATACCTAAACATTAGATTTTTTTATTATTTAATATGTATATTTTTTTGAAATGTTATATTAATTGTATAAAAAAATAAGAATATTGATATATGTGAAACTAATGTGCCATATTATAAAGTTTAATAAAAATATTCCAATTACATAATAAATACTACAATTACAAATTGTAGGTTTATATATTTCTTTGTATTTCAATCATAATGTGTGAATTTGTAAAAAAAAATGACATTCTACCCCTTTATTCAACATATGACAACGTTATTAAAATATGCAATATTACAACTCATAAGTTTTCTAAATTAATGAAATATTATTTTATTAAATAATTTATTTTTAAATTCAATTAAAAATCAACACCCGTGGGTTCTACGGGTTTTAACCTAGTATATATATATATATATATATATATATATATATATATATATATATATATATATATAACGCCATAAAAAAACTAATATCTGTTATATTTTTCAGACACAATCCATTTTCAATTTATACAACATTTGTGTCACACCCCGAAACCGTGATGGCGGAATCGTTCCGGGGTGGAGGACGTCATGCGTAGTATCACAACAATTGTATCATAGCAAGCATAGTAAACAAAACCAGACATTTAATACATATATGAAAGAGGTTTACATTGTTTTAATACATAGTTTTGTTCATATCAAAAGCAAAATAGAAAGACGCGACTCTAACACTTCGACTTCTCCGAGCTCCTGGAAGTACCTGTTTACTAATTCCCTGAGAATACAAGCAGTTTTGAAAGAGTATCAGCATAAAGCTGGTGAGTTCATAAGCATTTTGATTTTGGTGGAAAATGTTCTTTGAATCCTTTTGAAAAGTGTTCCTCAAGAAAATCTTATATTTTCTTATGAAAAGCGGTTTTGAAAGAGTGTCCATTAGTAGAAAATAAACCACCAGTTTTAGAAATGCCGGTGTTATCTTGGGAAAATCCTATATTTTCCCTAAAAACAGGTTATCCGTACTAGAGGTAGAGATGTAAGTTTTGAAAACCCATGATTACTATCGGTATATACATGAAAGTAGTTTTATTAATCAAAATAAAACAAGTGAAGAGTAGAGTTTGTAAACAAGGTTAGTTTATACTTATTTGCGAGTCGTATAACCATACTTGATATGACCGATAGACCTTTATAACGTTCTTCAGGCGTTAAGCTAAATGACATTTGTTCACCACAGGCGTGCCCGCCTAACTGTAGCTAGCAGTTCTGGTGTGGGATTGTCAGTCCCGAATAGATCTATTCACAAATCTCACGCTCTCCCTCCAGGAGACTCTGGTTATACTAAAAGGATTTATCACTATACACCTAAGGGTACAATATTGAAGTAGCGCCTCACAATTATGTATAATCTAGTTTACTAGCGAGAAATCAGTATAAAACAGTAATTATCCTTGAATAAATGTACTTTATACTTCTGAGAAAACATATAACATAAACTAAATCTGCCATAGTTTATATATATTCATTTATGAAATTTGATTAAGTAGAGACTGCCTAGAGGGTTATCTCAAACTATACCCATTATAGTTTATTAGAGTTGATATGGAAAATGTTTTGTAAAAACCTTTCTGAAAGCTATGAAGTTGGATTTCCAAAA